CTGTCTGTGTCCTTTAATAATTCAGTAGGAAAATTGGCATTATTTATGAGTGAGTAAGGTATGAGTGTCAGTAACATTCCCTTTTGCTGTGTGTTTTAAGGAATACTCCCAGAGCAGCTTGTACAGAGTGCCTCCCACCTACTCCCCACTGCCCTCCCCGATGGCACACCCTGCCCCACCAGCCCTGTGGGGGTACAGCGTGGGGGGACCCCCCCCACAGCCCAACTTCTTCCTGCAGAGCCAGTCTCTCGCTCCAGGTATGGCCAGCTCTGGGGGCACAGCCTGGAGATCTTATTTGGAGTGGGGCAAAACTGTCTTGTGACCATGTTCTCTTTCTCTCTCTGCTGAGGGCTGTGTCTGTTGGTGCCGTTTGGTCGATTCCTTTGTCCGCTGTGGGTCCTCAACAGGCTTTTCTGCTCTCAGTTGTAGCTCTGTCTCTGTTAAACTGGTGAACCTTTTGGGTAGATAAGCCACAGAGAGCTCCTGTGGTGGCAGTGTAAGAGAGCTGGTGGAGTTCTGTGAGGACTGAAGTGAGAGGGGGATGATTAAAGGCCCTTGGGGTTATTTCTTCCTTGATTCATACCAAGAGCCATGGTGGCTAATTTGCCATCTGCTAGGTGGAATAAATCCATAGGCTCACACTTTTTCAGCATTTCTGATTTGTGCTTAATTTTGTGGGGGATTGCCTAGTTTCTTCCAGTTTGTTACAGTTTAACAGGGATTTACTGGCTCCAGAGGGCAGCAGTTTGTGATAATTTGAGAAACACTATCGTGGCTTCTACAAAATTATACGGGAGAAGTTTTTGTTCCAATTATAAATGTTAAATATTTTTTCCTGAAGCTCTAAATACAACTAATCTGTATTTTAACTGTGTAAAAGTCTTCACAATATGCCCTACTAGCTAAAAATTTTAAGGAAATGCTGGTTTTTCAAACGAATGTGTGAATTACCTTTGTAAGTCTGACAGAGAGATGTGTGATTTTTATCAAATAGAGATAACTTTCTGCCATCTCATAAAGTTGTCTTGACATATTAAGCTATTCATAGCATGCTTTTGATCTGACATGCAACTTTTATTCAGCACTAGTAGTGAGATGTTCTGTGTGACATAGAACATACAGCAGCCCACAGTCTTTGTGCTTCTCATTCTCAGTTACAAGTGTCAGACTTCAAAGTTACTTTGCCCATGTAAATTTTCAGGCCAGAAATCTGATTTAATCCAGACTGTGCCTTTACAGAGATGTGTTTTTCATTATGGAAAGCTGATGGATTAGCAGTGCTCTGTACCAGCAATGCTCTTGGGGAAGGCAGAGGCTGCATTTGTGTTTTGGGTGGTTTTCAGGTGGCTCCAGGCTGGACCCAGCAGGCTCCTTTGTCCCAACAAACACGAAGCAAGCCCTGTCCAACATGCTGCAGCGGCGCTCGGGCTCTGTGATGCAGCCACCCTCGATCCATGGGATCTCACCTCAGCAGCAGCTGCTTCAGATGAAGCTCCTGCAGCAAGAGCAGCAGCAGCAGCGGCTCCTGCGGCAGCAGGCACAGGCACGGGCTCTGCAACAGGTTTGTCCAACCCCTTGGCATGAGGAGCAGCACAGTGGGTTTGCCTCACACTGGGGCTGTGTGTCCTGCCTGGCTCATGGTGAGGAGTGAGCTGATAGTTACACTGCATTCCCCAAATATTGGCTAAACAGGGCCAAACTGCTCCACTAACACCCAAGTCAACTCGTGTGCATTCCTTGTATTGTTGCTATATTCTCACTGTCCTTTTCCTGCAGGATGTCTGTAGCTCTGCCGTATCCCTTCAGGATGGCTTTGACAACATAATGGTAACCACTCGAAGACTGTGACCTTCACCTTGTTTCTCTTTCACCCAAACATGCATTCCTTCCACTACCGAGACTGCACTCTGCTTCCAATGGGAATAATGACACTGTGCTTTGGGGCTGCTCACCCAGGAGAGCAGCGGCTGCATGGGGGAAGCTGAGAATACACCTGCACACAGAGAGTATTGTTTTCTGACAAATGTTTCCAATAACTGCATCATTGTTCAATTTTTTTCCTCTTCTGTTGTGTTTCTTGCTGTGGAAGATGAGAGCAGCTGCAGGACATGCCCCAGGCCATGTCTGTCTGATCTCAGTTGAGTGTTCTGCACTGGCAGGATGGGCCATTGTCAGAATAACCAGATCTTGTTGCCTCCAAAACTAGTAACAGCCAACACACCTGTTAAATCATTAACCTTCGTAGAATTCAGTAGTTTCTGGGGAAAATGAATGATGTAATGAAGTTTCATCCCTAATGTCTGTGCTGGAAAGCTTTCCAGATATTAATTAGAGAAGCTGCTTGAGAGTTGGTCTGCAGTACTTTAGTCCTGTCTCAGGGAAACTGCCACACTGTTAAGAGCCCTCATGGGCAAGGCAGAGCCAAATGTGTGTTCAAAGAGGCTTTAAAGCGGCTTTGCTGTTGACCCTGTTGTCCATATTTTATATGTGTGCAATCATTCCTGGTGGCACATCAGAATGGGACATCCATCACTCTGTTTGCAATAGTTAGGCACACCTGGATATGCAGTAGATACACAGTAAGGGCTCCAATCCTTTTCCAGCCTGTAGCCCAGGTTGTGGTGTTGCTGCTTGCAGTGTGTTATGAGTCACTTTTAGCCTTAAATTACACGTCTCTGTAAGGATATCCCGGTTAAAATAGCAAAGGCTTTGTTGGAGGACTTGGGTTTGTATTTGGTTTTGCGGGGAACCGGGCAGCTGCAGGGAAGGAGCATTGCTGCTTCCAGCTCCTGTCTGCCACTGAGTTTTTTTGGGTGGAATGGTCTTAAAAATGGTCAGGTGCAGCTGTGCAGCATCCTAGTCACACAGGAAACACGCAGATTGGTTGTGTCCTTGGCACATTTTCATTTCCCAGGTTTTTACAGTCTTGGTCATGAAATTAAGTCTAACAGTTAATTTCTTTCCTCATTTCTGGTGCTTCCAAACATGCTGCTGCAGTTATGGTTGAAATCTTTAAATGATTTGCCCTTAACTGGGCACAAATACTGAGGTGATTTGGATGGAGAAGTGAGGTTGGCTGCTGATCACGACCTGAGGCACATTCCCAACTGCACTGTTTGGAGCTGGAGCTGCTTGCATTACTCATTTGCCATACTGGTGTTGTGTATGTCATCATCAAATTTACTCATCAGCATTTTGCCTGCTTCATCTGGGGGAAGTCTGGGAACCAGGTATCCTGAGAAAGATCCATCACCTGTGTGGCTATACCAGAGATTGTCACTCGCTCCGATGTATTGGCCTCAAGACAGCCAGAATATTTCTTTTCCAGTCCTTTGCAAAGCCCCATTTAAAGGGTCTCTGCAATCCCGCTGCAGTGTACAGCTGCCTTCTCCCAGCTGCAGTGTCACAGCTGTGTTAGACACCAAAGGTCAGTGCTTCCACCTCCTGGGAGTAAACACAGCACAGCAGTTTGGCACTGAGCAGCGGTGCAGCCCTGAAGGAAATGGTTGTTACTCCATAACTCTGTAGGACACAACTTGTTGGGGTTTGTGTCCAGAACTAGACTTGTTTGAGGAGTGTGGGCTGTGTCTGATGGTGCTGTGTCTTGCAGAGTCAGCCGATGGACCAAGCTGCTGTTTTCACTCCGCAAGCTCGACTGCCATCCCAGCTCCCACAGTACCCAGGGTTACAGCAAGCACAGGTACTGCATCGTCACAGGGAGCACCAGCATGGAAATGCTGTTAAACAGAGTTCCTCTCCCTCAGCCTGCTCCTCTGTGTCTGGGCTGTGCTTCTGCCTGTGGCCTGGGGTACCTGTGAGGCTTCCTCCTGGGATCCTCATGGTCTCTGCATGCAGTAGGTCATGAATGTTTTTAACGTGGCCACTTCCCAGTTTTTCCTGAGGTTGATGGTGGTAACGGCAAGTGAACTTTACTGCTGAGCTGGAAATTTGGCCAGTTTCTGGTGAGACAGCGATGGCAGTAACACTGCCTGTTGTCATTCCAGTACATTTTGGGGGGATATGCGGACACTAGAGGTGGAGCTGTGGAGCAGAGCCCTGCTCAGCACCTCTCAGGAAGGAGGGCACAGCGTGGGTTCCATCCTGCCATGTGTGGCCGTATCAGCTGCCTGGACCCACAGGCAGAGGTGAGGTCTCACCAGGGTGGGGGACACACGGGTCAGTGTGCGGGGCAGCACTGCAGCTCGCTGTCTTGCCTCTGGTTCTCCAGGCTCTGGCTCCTTGGCAGGGCCATTTCTCTGTCGCGGTCGGGCTGTTCCACACGCAGCCCCAGTGTGTTACTGCTGTGGTGTTCCCGCAGAGCCTGCCCCACGGATACACCCTGTACAGCACGGCAATGCCAGGGCAGCAGCAGCCTGGCGTGGGGCTGTCCCCCAGCTACCCTCCCCGGCCCTACACAGCAGCTCAGCACAGCCCCACACTGCTGGAGCGGCTGCGGCTGGGCCAGCACCACGGCGCGTTCCTCCAGCAGCAGCCACCTGCCTACGGCCCCGCTCCGGCCGGCACCTCACGGTGAGCACAGTGCTTCCCACTGCTTGGTTCAAATAGAGTGTATTAATAACAGAATCACAGGGTCAGAATGGTTTGGGTTGAGAGGGACCTTAAAGCTCATCTCGTTTCACCCCCCGCCATGAGCAGGGACACCTTCCACTAGACCAGGTTGTTCAGGTTGCTCATTAATCAAAAGGAGGTTAACACCAGTTCTAATTAGCAATAATATGCCTTTCTCTCCAATGTCCTTGTGTTTTTCCCTCATTTAAGTTTTATTTTAAGTTGATCTTGGCACACCTTCTAGTTCAGTTGCCCTGTGTGGTTGTAGACAGCTGTTGGATCCTGTT